AGATGCCGGATAAAATGTACCCAAGATCACACCTAGTATTGTTCTGTTCATACAGTTCAATTACAATCGGTCCAACCTTTCCAAAGATTAGCCCGACAAATAGAAAGACAAACAGACATTTTACAAATGGTTATTCATGTCTAAATGACAAGCAAGTAACTCCTCAGCTAATAGCATAATAAACCTGACAAAAGGCAGTAATTTCGATATAGATAAACTCTTAAATGGTAATTATATGTATAATTAAAATGTAGAATCAGCCATTTCTAACTCGTTTAACTACTGTTGAAAAATTGTGCGTAAATATTGTAATGCAACTGAATATCTGTTATTGAGTTAAAATACATACCACCTCAGATGGAGAATTATTCAATATTTTTTTATAGAATAAGGGTGACAACCAAGCACACAGTCCACCTGATATATGGTAAATGGATGCTGTGTCCCATAGACATCTACATTTATCCTCGATTAAGAATCAACACGCAGACGCGTTATCACTCGTGAGGATTAAGATGGAATGCCTCGTCTGCCTACGAAACACAGCAGTATTAAGCTACTATTTTACGCTGTGAGTGCCTGGTCCTACCCCGGTCGAGCCGACGCATTCATGCCACAACCATAACATAGCTGCAGCGTGGCTCTACCACGTATAAATTTATGCCTAAGATTTTTTACAATCTTTAAGAACCGTGGTAGCCCCGATGGTTAGCGCTCGCTGTAAATTTCACAGTACGCGAGCAACCCGGGTTGGATCCCCACCGGCGCCAACGAAATTGTTAATTGCAATTTTAAGACATGATATACCACGTGCTCGGCGGTGAAGAAAAACATCGTCAAGAAACCTGCATGTCTAAGAAATAAGAAAAAAATAATTCGAAGACATGTGAAGTTCGGCGACACGTATTGGGGCAGCGCGGCGGACAGTTTCTTTACCTAAAACCCTCTCAGAAATCAGAGGCCTGTGCCTAGCTGTGTGTATATGGGCTGTAACTTTAACTTTTTAATTGATCGTAATATGAGACGCAATTACTCGCTTGCCGTTCTACCGTTTTCCGCGCCATGGATTTATATTATTATATTTTGGATCTACATTATACAATATTACTCAAAAAATTATATCATCAGTTGGCAACGAGGTTTATAACGAGTAAATTATTGTTTCGATAATTCATAGAATCAGGCATTACTTTGCGGAAATTCATTATATTCAAGTTGGTGAGAATTACTTCGCTCATATCCGCTCAATAAAATCATATTATTTTACCTAGTTTGAAGAGCATCTTCCTCAATTGCGTGCACTAATCCCGTCACCACTAATCCCAGCCCCACTACACTCAACACCACTACACTAGGAAAGACACACAATCGACGATAATATGTCCCTTGTTTCGCCTCTACACGAGGAGTTGACTGAGTGAGTGTTTAGCTACCGCAGAGTCTACATGCATACACGGGATTAGTAGGCTAGGCACTAGGGCGGGTAGTGTTGAAGGTTGAGGGTACTTTTGAAACTAGGTAAGACACATCAGTTTATTTTATTGAGCGGATATGGGCGAAGTAATTCTTACCAACTTTAATATTGTTGGTTCGAATAAATTTTTGGTTTTTATTAAAAATAAACTCGATTATTTATAAAAGTAATGATGATAAATGAGCATAGACCATGATGGTAATTTAATGTTGCGGCCAATAGGTGCATCTATAGGCGATTAATAATCATGCATGTGCAGATCAAATTAGATAAGTTTTTAAAGAGACTACTTAACTTTTTCTAAGACGGAATGATTTGTTCCCGTAAAAAAGAGGCTGCGGTTCGCGATACTCAATATAATATGAACTACAGTAGCTTATATACTGTTTATTTTATGATCGTATTATAAGTGAGCGTGGTCTTACCCCGGTCAAGCTGACTCGTCCTGCAGCTATTATACAAAGCGTATCTCTACGACGTAAATATGTGATGAAACGCGATAAACTAATGTTTATGATGAATTTTATGGAATACAATAAGTTGAGATCCCTCAGAAATTAAACTCAATACACTAAAAATTAGAATAGAGTATAGAACATACTGCTGGTGTTATAAGAAGTTACTGATTTAGCACGTGTTCGGCAGTCAAGGAATACATAGTGAGGAAAACTACATGTCTGAGGAATATAATATTTCCTGGATCCCTCAAAAGAAGCGGAGTAGAGCGGCTAGTTGTTCTATTAGTCCACATAGCAGGCTGTGACTTTTGTAAAACCCACAGTATTTCACTCACAAAATGACGCAGTTTTCATTTTACAAATATAAGTCTGATGTCTTTTTTATAGGATAGGGTGACAAACGAGCACAAAGTGTCCACCTGGTGATAACTGGTTGCTGTGTCCCATAGACTCGATTACGAATCAAAATGCAGATGCGTTTGTCACCCGTGAGGATTAAGATGGAATGCCTCGTTTCCAGTAAAAAGGGTCTCCGGTTCTCTACGCTCACCATACGAAACACAGCAGCATTTAGCTACTATTTTACGCTGGTATTCACATGTCTGTCCTATTCCATTCCTATTCTAGTGGTGAGACTCCAATTCTGCCTAGGAGTTTAGCCTGGGTAGGTACAACCCTCTTACCTATTCCTGCTGTCAAATAGCAGAGCTTGCACTGCTGTGTTCTGAGTCTGAAGGGTATAGGAAGCCAGTATAATTACAGACTGTGAGGCACGCATCTGCAGCTGAAGTAGCCATATAACTACCATCAACCTCACACTGTTTGTACGTTTGTCATATTAAATTTATATTTAAACACATTAACCTGTATGCAACAACAAATTTACCCAAGTTTTTTTTTAAATGAATTAGAGTTACAAACGAGCACACAGTCCACCTGATGGTTAATGGATGCTAAGGCCCATCGACAACTACATTTATCCTAGATTAAGAATCAAAACACATATGCGTTGTCACCCCCGAGGACTAATATGGAATGCCTTGTTTCCAGTAAAAAAGGGTCTCTGGATCTCTACACTCGCCATACGAAACACAACTGTATCAAGCTACTATTTTACGCTGGTATTCTGTGAGAGCGTGGTCCTTTCCAGGTCAAGCCGACCCATGCGTGCTACAACCATAATATAGCTGCAAAGTGGCTCTACCACGTTTAAAATGATATTCAATGTGATAATCAATATGATATTTTTGAAGATATAAAGAAGAGTGTGCCATAGCAGTACTAGCTACGATAACTATGTATGACTTGTAAGTTTCTCTATCGCGGAACGTCTACCAGCCACCACTATAGTAAACTTTTTGTCCGTATTAGAAATGATCATTGTCCCGTTTAAGTTTGATTTCTGTTACGTATGTTTACATTTTTCCTCTTATCTCCAAATCCATTACTGGGTTACAAAATAGTTTCATTGATTTTGTTTGTAGCGACGCTCTCGTCGCCGTCACAAGCGAAAATACACCGAAGCCTAAATCGCGCTATCAACATTCCGAATCATAAACAGTATATATAGAACATCTCCGAACTATCACACGGAGTGTCGGCCGCTCCCCGGGCAGAACACCTTGCCCGGCGGTAGGTCTCCCCTTTTCCTACCACGTCCACATGTTCATGTCTTCATTATTCGTTATTCATAAGAACCTGTCTCCTCATCATAGATTTCATCATTATAGGGATGTTTGCTGTAGTTGCCATGTTTGGCAGACGGGTTTGTTACCAGTATTTATTATTTTCCAGTAGTTATTAGTAAGAGGTTGTTGTGCATCTCCTTATCTATTTTCCTTTGTCTCTTATGACACCCGTGGTCAATATAGCCTAGCCCATCAAAAACCCACAGCTGAACAAAAGACTCACCCTAAGATAGCAAAAAACGCGGTCAAAAGTACCCTTCATCAATCACATGGTTACAGCTCTTTTATTATTTAAATAAGTAAGTCAACACGGCAACCGTTGAGCAAAAAAAAATCTGTAATGTACCGACGTTTAATGTTAACGGTTATATAAAGATACATAATAAATGTAAATGGAGATTGACGTGGCCTGTTTACTCGTGGGAAATACAAACAGAAAGTACACTACAATAGAGCCGGTCTACTGGACCGACAGTCCGAACCTCAGGACGGCGTTACTGAATTTCGAATTACTTTTGTCTGTAATATTAGTCTGTGATGGTGGTGTTATATTAAATTATAAATATATATTTTTAATAAAGTACATTACGTCTCGGTTTTCTTGAGTGTTAATTACAAATAAACGTTCTCCGCTGTCCATTTCTATTCTTTAACAATACGAGTATGATAGCGTAGTGTGACGCGTGTGGCGGCGCTGTGTCCGCAAGCGAAACATACCGAAGCCTAAATCACGCTATCAACATTCCGAATCATAAACAGCATATATAGAACATCTCCGAACTATCACACGGAGTGTCGGCCGCTCCCCGGGCAGAACACCTTGCCCGGCGGGAGATCTCCCCTTTTCCTACCACGGCCACACGCGTAATCACGCTCCCCACTCCGACGGGTACGGAGGTGTGGCGTTGAAAGCCGTGCATCGTCTAACGTCGTTTAGTTCGGCAGACTTTGGCACGGGGTTTGTGTGCGTGCGACTAGAAGTATGCGTGTACACTAGCTGCTAAGCCAATGATAAAAATTCCTGAATAAACCTACATGTATTGTAAGATATTAAAAATATTTTAAACAATATTAACTTCTCATTTATTCAATAAGAGAAAAAAAATTGTTTTCTTATCGGTCACCACGCTCAAAAAGTGTAACTTGATTTAATATCAAAGACTTGCATGAATAAAATAAATAAATAATTATAATTGCATAAGTTGATAAAAAATGCTATACAATAGCTTTACCGCGGCAGTCACCGAGTGCCACACGTATTTTTTTTTTAAATAAATAATTACACACTAAACCTGCAAAAGTTTTGAAATAGATAATTGATACTATATCATACATTGCTGATATAGATATCAATATCATCGCATCATATTAGGACCTTACCTGAGAGACACGGGTGATCATTGAGAAAGTCCATCTTCATCTTCGCGATCTTAGCCTCGGTTTCTAGTTCTAGAGGTCCTTCGATGGCCTGGAACACTGACGCTCCTGAAAATCAAAACTAAAATTAAAAAAATATCTGTATACCATAGCTAATTTGTAATTTAAATCATCAAATAAATATAATTTTAGTTGAAACGATTTAAACTTAATCGATTCATTTAATCTACATAAATGTTGAATGTTCCTTTTTTTGTCCCGTGTAACCTGTACCATTCATCCAATTACGATGAAATTTCGGCGTGTCGTTTTGTGCGCCTATGAATTATATGACTAATATATTTAAAAATAATTTTTTGTTTGTTTGTTCGTTTTCTATGCTTTGTTTAGTTAATTTGCGCGCGTCGGCGAATGTTTCTGACAAATAGTCTTTGCAACACATACTGGGCTTAGTCTCATAAGTGTTTATTTTATAGAATAAGGGTGACAAACGAGAACACAGTCCACCTGATGGTAAGGGGATGCTGTGGTCCATAGACACTTAACCTCGATTAAGAATCAAAATGCAGATGCGTTGTCACCCCTGCGGACTAAGATGGATTGTTTCGTTTCCTGTAAAAAGAGTCTCTCATACAAAACAAAACAGTATTGAGCTGCTATTTAACGTTAGTGTTCTTTGAGAGTGTAGGGCTTTCCCGGTTGAGCCAACCCATTCGTTCTACAAACATGCAAACTGCAGCGTGGTCCTACCACGTATAAAATGTCTGTACTTTTGAACGATTTGATCGATTAAGGCCATATACACATAGTATGTTTGTTTTTTGAAACAATGAGATAATGGATTATCTTTATGATTTTAAGTGGGTAGTAAATAGTACTAAGTAATATGGCATAAAGTCTACTTACGTCTTATAATAAAATAAATAACTAACTCATAATTTAATGTCCGTTATTAGTTCCTATAGTGTTAAACGAAATTATCCAAACATCGCTTGTGTATAATAAATTCGCCTGCCGAAAATCGATACTCGTATAAATTTATTGCCTTTCAAATCATTCAGGCGCTTTTGTGTAGGTTGCGAACTTGTGAAATGTTTTATTTATAAACTTAGTGTGGGCGGGCTGGGCACTATTCATTAAAGATAAAATTAGCCAAACGTCTTATTTTAAATTTATATGAGCGTAGATTTAACTCATATTATATATTACACTTACATATTATTTTGAAATAACATTCAAAAAATTTATCTATTTGCATGTACATCATTTTAAAATGTTGACTTTTATTATAAACTTTAAATTCACCCTGAGAGATTTTTTATAGGATATAGTGACAAACGAGCACACAGTACACTTGATGGTAAGTGGTTGCTGTGGCCCATAGACATCTACATCTATCCTCGATTACGAATCAAAATTCAGATGCGTTGTCACCCGTAAGGACTAACATGGAATGCCTCGTTTCCAGTAATAAGGGTCTGATGATTAACATATTTGTACTCTTGTAAAATCAGGCCTATGAGTCCAAGTGCGGAGAAATGTCCGAAGGAACGGCATCCCCAACTTACGTCGCCACTGATGACAAGAGGACCTGTTCTTTTATCGCCGTTCAACGAGGAATTAGCCTGATTAAGTTACCAGGCTGAGGATATCCCCTTTTCTTTCCACGGCAAAATTGTTTAAACAACTAAGGTAAAAAAGTCAACGAAGTGAAGACCTAACATATTATGTAAGTTCCATCCATCTATCCTTCTATTACAGCTTATGAAAGTCCACAGCTGAACATGGACCTCCCCCTTTCCCTCCACTCTGTCACGTCTTATGACACCAACTTTACGATATGGGGTATTGGATATTCTTACACTGCCACCACATGGTTTATGTAGGTCACAGGTTTTCATCTATAACCTAAATAAATAAATAAATATTGGAAAGAAAAAATAATTCTTGTCACTACCCGCTTTATGATGTCGCATTTACAAAAGATATAAAAAATTTAAAATTTGAATCATTGCTGAATAAACAGGACAACATTAAAAATAAAAAAATCCTTTAAACTTTTGTCTTTTACCGAAACAATTTACAAGGCTTAGTAAGGTTTTAAAGATTTTAAAGTATGTATTTCAAAACCTCCTAAAGAGTTTGTGAGATAAACGTTGTGAATTTTTATGGTTTGTTTATGTAAACAATTTTTTTAGCTTATAAATAAAATATAAGAAGGAGAAAACTTATGATGCTTGTACACTGTACAAGAAGCTGAAGTAAATAAAGATGCGAGCTACATGTAGTTTTTACGTGGTAAAGCCATGCTGCATTCGGCTTGACGGCGAATGGGCCACGCTCTCACTGATTACAGTGATTCGTAAGGTGAGCGTAAAGAAGCGGAGACCATTTTTACTGAAAAGGTGAAAACGAATCTGCATTTTAGTTCTTATTCGAGGGTGGATTTAGATGTCTATGGGCCACAGCATCCACTGGTACAGGAACCATCAGGTAGACTGTGTGCTAGTTTGTCACTCTCTGTGTTGCTTCTATAAAAAGATTCATACTCGTATTATGTCTTCACTGGATACACGCACTTGTAGTACTTTCCTGACTTTTAAGTTTAGTGTAATATGTGATGATAAGATATATTGTAATCTCCCGAACGGTACACTACCGAGTTATATCAGTAGAATGACGCGGACAATTTGTTTTAGGTAAACATTCACGTCAAAAACTTTGAGGTTTGAGCGAAGAGGTAGTGTTCCCAAAAAATTACCGACATATGTGTGACATGAATATTTCATACGACCCTTGTTTTGTCGATGTTCATCTTAAGACCTATCCGTTTGACGACACTACGTCAAACGGATAGGTCTTAAGATGAACGTTAGTTCGTTGAGAATAGTGTTAAAGTTCCTTAGCCTGCCATAATGAATAAATAATTTTGCTGAAATTTGGCTACCAGATAGACTGTGCCCGGGTTTTTTTATCTTATAAAATCTATAACATTGCGACCGGTATTATCTCTTGTCTTCATTACTATGGCTATATATTGTTCATCGCTAAGCCATACACTTCCAATGGCTTGCAGGATTTGCTAAGCGTTTTAATTCCTCTGTGATTAGTAATTCAAATTCCTAGATGGAAATGGTTACTATACTTTTAATTTTACTTTTCACATGTTTGGTAGGCATACTATATATTTTAAATGGTTGCAGAAATATCAATTATTATTTCATATTAAATTTAGAAATCAGTTTCAGAACAGCTTAATTACAAATACTCACCCATGGTCAAATATAGCGCCATGGCGGCCGCAAGTACAAACAATGTAAAGTAGGGCATGACGCGCGGATCGTTCACACAACCGGGAGTTATCAGCCTCATATCTGTGGACAAATACATTATGTGTAGTGCTATACGAAATAATGATTTAAAACAGTACATATAGGTTTTTTAAACTATGTAGTGGTGGTGTACCCCATATCGTCCCGTCGGTTTTGTAAGAGGCGACAGACGGACTCTGAAACAGACAGCATAATAAAAAATTGCGGTTGGCAACCCGCCTGCTACCAAGGCAACTATGGCAAAATCCCCATGAGGTAATATGTAGTGAACAGGATTGCCAGATCGAAAGACCCTAATATCTGGAGCAAATTAGAAAATGTCGAGATTTTGGGGTTGTTGTCGGGAGAAATGAATATTAAAAATAGAAATGTAAAATAAAAAGTTTATTTTTTAAATTAATAGGCTACAAAAAGGCTTAACGTTATTGCCACATAACTACTCTTACTACACTTAATATTTAGGTTGCCACATGTATTTGGCATTGGACTTTATTGAGTCCACCAATTTTTTAAACCTTTAAAACCTTTAGAAGTATTCAAAAAAGATTTAAAATTCAAACAATTTATTTCAAGTCCAGTCTATGTATTAACTCAACTTTTGTTAAATCAAAGGCAGTTGTGATGTCAAGATATCTGGAGATTTTGAGTTTTGTCGGATCTGGAGATCATTTAAAATTTCGTGAGAATCCAGACGAATCTCGATCATCTGGCAACCCTAGTAGGGAAGCATGGACCTTTATAAGTTGTGGGTTATTTAAAAATTTATATCCATCCTTTTACATTTTCACATGTTTTTCGATGTAAACGAATGATCTCGAGTTGGATATAAACCAAGTAACCACAGTAATTAGGTTCTAGATTACTTACTCTAACTATCAAATTATGTACTTCAATAGTATCATCATTACAATGTATTGAAAATCCACTGGTGTACATTTTTTTCTTATAAATTACCACTAAGCACAGTCCTAACATCATAAGTTCATGAAGGGGATTTTAAACAAACATTCCCTCAAAGGTTTGTTAGTTTTGCGAGCTATAAAGGTTCTACTAAGCACTGCAGCGGATTTATTTCTGAATAGTGTATTCAAATACCCTTTCTATATTGATTATGATTTGGAAATATGTGATAATGTTTTTACACATGTAGGTCTTAGTAAGAGGATGTTGCAACGCATAGACATTATCAACTATCCTTTATTAAGAATCAAGGCGCATATACTTAAGTAGTTTATCTTTTTTGTGAATTTGATTATTGCCGATCTCCTTCCTTAAAACGTACACTGTCTCGTGACACACATATGGGTCATTGCTATTGTCTTACTATTGTGTATGGAAACCGAACAGTGAAAGTGCTAATAACCATCTATGTGAGCTTGTTATGATTTTTGCCATTCTTCAAAAATAACACGACATTTTCTGATATTACTATTGACTTATTTTTTTATTTGTCCAACTGTCGCCGGGTCATTACTCAAACGGTATGTTTATATATGTTTAAGAGATTTTAGATTTGTAAAAGTATTACCTTTATTTAAATGAGGTAGTACATTGGACCCCCTGATTTTAGACCTATTTCTGTTCAACCAATACTTCTCAGTAAAACTATTATACTGGGCACAGCTTCAGGAGGACCTCTGCTACATTATTGGCAGATTCAGGAGCCAATTTGACGTCCTTAAAGCCAATAGGTGGTTGGAAATCAAACAAAGTTGCAGAAGGCTATATTGCTGATTCATTAAACAACAAATTAGACACTGGGAAAAAAATCACACAATCCATTAATTTAAAGTCCAGTCCGTCTCCTTCACATGACAATACTGAAGGGAACGTTCGTCCATCTACCTTCCTTGATAATGATAATTCATCAGATCCAATTCCATCAACTAGCAAACGCCATTGTAACACCTTTGGCAAATATACATGAACAATCATACGAAATTAATAATAGTTTGTCTCAAACAGTAAATATGCAACGCCGTGTGTTCTTATGCCTAAAACTTCCCCAGTTATTGTAAAAACTGTACCAATTTTAATGTATATGTGAATTATAACTTTTATAAGAAATAAATGATTAGTTAGTTGAGTTTATTTTGTTTTTATTATTTTATTACATTGCTTCATTTTTTCGCAACTGTATTAAAAATAGTTGTTCAGTACACGTGCGGAAACGTCATTGCAACTTGTTCCGATTGTCAACACTCACCTTTGGCTGCGCCTCGGCTCGAGTAGACATTTGTCGGGATTCTTTGCAATGACAGGCTTTCCGCACTCGTAATGAAATATACTATTCAATCCCTGGGAGAATTCACAAGATGCCTTAGGTATTTTACGTCATCTTTCCAAGGCTTTCGATTGTGTTCACCATGAGATATTAATTCTTTCTGGCAGTCTGATGAACTGAACTTTGGAACCCTGGTTCCACTCGATCGCTTCTTCACTACGAGCCGTATTGAAGTTGCGTCAGTCCTGTCACATTCATTTGGAGATCTGTCTATTCAGTTGCCTGTATGCTGTCAAATCTGCTGAAGACTGCAGTTTCATCGCGCATCCAACAGCCATGAAATTAAGAGAATGATCGAAGAGTTTTTGTTTTGAAATTAATTCATTAATTTTGCCATGAAATTAAGAGAATGATCGAAGAGTTTTTGTGTTCTTCTGCGATAGATCTTACAGAGCTTAGCTCCGACCGCATGGACAGTTATCACAAGCTTGTTATTGATATCATCCACTTCATTGCAGTCTTCTAGGCACTGAAAATTATTTTGTAACTCGAGCTGAAAGTTTTCGGCGCTTTGGATTAGAGCACGAGGGGGACGGAGCGTTAACTTTATTAGATGGGACCTCTCCAACTTAACGTCTAGGTTTCGTATGCCTCTTACCATTCGGTTATCGCTGCCATTTTCACCCTCCAGATCACTGAGACATCACTGAACAGTTGTTAGGTGCAGTTATATCGATCTGTCGTGGCTCGACCAGGTCCACTTTCTGTGGGGCCGCTTTTGAAAGCTCATGCGAGGTATATTGTGATAGTTGCCACGCTTGGTGAGTGGATTGGCAGCCACAGTTGCTAAGTTATAATAATGTGTGTATTAGCAATTATAGAGCCGTGGTAACTCAAGAACTATTGCTTGCTGTAAATTTCACAGTACGTGAGTAACCAGCATTGGATATCCGCCGGCACCAATCAAATTGTGTTTGGTCATGCAATTTTAAGTGCTGATTTACCACGTAATCGGAAAGGAAAACCTCGTGAGGAAATCTGCATATCTGAGAAATAAGAATAAAAATTCGAAGGCATGTGAAGTTCGTCAACAAGTACTGGGGCAGCACGACGGATATTTCCTTGGCTTAAAACCCTCTCAGAAATGAGAGGAGGCCTATATCTAGCGGTGGGACATAAATATTACATAGGCTGTAACTTTATTTTACTTTTATAAACATTTAATAACTCGTTGTAGATCAATAACAAAAATGCCACTTCGTAACTTTAAGTTTAAAAATTTGACTTTTCAGTAATGCCAACGTTACTTTTGGTCATGTAACGATGGCAAAACTGGTACGCTCAGTGTGGACCCTCAATGATGGCACGGGTACGTAGTTATAATAGATTATATTCTTTGGCCCGCAACAGGGGTTGTCTGCTGATACGATTTTTACGAATTTCGGGGACAGCGGGATACACCTTAATCATTTCACTGTCCACTGTTGTTTTCGTTTATAGAATAAGGGTGACAAACGAATATCACCTGATATTAAGTGGATGCTGTGGCCCACGGACATCTACATTAATCCTCGATTAAGCATTTATCTGCTATTTTACGTTGGTATTTTGTGAGAACGTGGTCCTATCCGTCGAACCATTCGTGCTACAATCATAATATAGCGGCAGCATAGCTGTACCACGCACAAAATTGTTAAACTTAGCGTCTTTTTCGTGGATAGGGTTGTTGTTAAAAGTATGTATGGTAATGTTAAGTATATAGGAATACGCACTAAGGGTGTGATAAGACAATTAAATATTATTATTGCAAAGTTACTCGTTGGCTTACTTTCGAGTAAATTATACGAGTATATATTAGTATATATATATATATATATATATATATATATATATATATATATATTATATATATATATATTAGTATATTATACTTCGAATATCTTCATTGCGGCATGGGCCAGTGAGTTGTTCTTACTGGAACAGATGGCTGACAGAAGTTTTCTTCTACAACCTTGGAAAAACACCTTAATAAAATTAGAGGTAGAGAAGTCTTGACTGACGAAAGACGAAAGGTATAAAGTCTTATTTTTAGTATCTATTTATTTGTTTTACACCAAAAATAAAGAAAGAGCTTCAAGTAAAATAGTTGCGGTACTTTATTGAGGTGTAATTGTATGATGTAACGACGATTGGTTGGGAAATATTTTTCTTTCGTTATCTCTGCCTACATTTCGGACTTTAATTTTGTCATGATCCTGACATAACTCTCTCGTTTCTTTCACATCCATATATCTACGCATATATGCTCGTCATTTAAAGGTAAGTACTCTTAATGTGACCCATTTTCTATAATAAATGGACCAGAGTTCCCGGCGCCACTTCAATCGGGCAGGATTGTAAAATAATCTGCGGGTGAAAAACCTGTGATGAGACTCGCCACGCGTCACGTTCTGTCTCCCGGAGGGGCGAGAATTGGATTGCGAAAATTGTGATATAGGATATTACTATGTAATAAATAACTAAACCCTGTTTTTTGTATACAAAATAACGAGCTATTTTATTACAACCATCCATTTTAATTTATAAAATGAATTAATGAACTTGGAGTGGAAAATAATGATTAAAATAAATTACTTTTTACATGTGTTATTTGTACTGGGTACGAATCAAATAGAACGCTTTACAGTTTATTATAGTTAATTTGTTTAGCTATTCTTACCCAATTGTTAAAATCATTGTAAAAAAGTGTAAATATATATTTAGATATAATTATAAAAAAATTATAATAAATAATTATAAAATTTTTAACTACAACCTAATAATAAGTTCACTGC